GAAGACTCGGAAGACGCAGTGGTAGCAGCAGCAGCAGCAGTAGAGGAATTGGAAGAAGTGGAAGGCTTGGGGAGCAGTTCGCAATCACCTGAATTGGATTCATCTTCCGATGATTGCAGCGGATGCTCCGGTGTGAGCAGTGGCGACGTCGGTCGTGGTAGCAGTGGTGGCGGCGGCGGCGGCTCCAGGGAGCTGATTGAAGCAACGGCATTCTCAATCGCCGAATCCTGCTGTGAAGATGAGAGCGCATTACTGTTGTTACTATTGGTTGACTCGGAGAAGTCATCGTCATCGGCTCCATCAGTCTGGGGAATCATCNGCCGAATCCTGCTGTGAAGATGAGAGCGCATTACTGTTGTTACTATTGGTTGACTCGGAGAAGTCATCGTCATCGGCTCCATCAGTCTGGGGAATCATCTCAGAGGAGGGCTTTGAGGTGGGCGCCTCCTTCTGCTCTGCTGCTGCTGTTGTCGCCGGGCTGGCGTCTGAGTCATCAATCAAAATGGTCTCCGTGGAATTGGTGGTCTTCGTCGTTGCTCCTCCACTGCTCGAGGTCTTTGTGGTGCTCGAGGTGACTGCCGCCGCCGGAGTGTTCGTGGTGGGCGTCTGTCCGGCGCTGAGCACCACAAAGCGCTGGGAAGAGGCGCCGGCGGCGCCGGGCGAGGCGACCAGTCGAATTTGCTGGGCGCCTGGCGAGAGGACGATGCGCTGCGTGCCACTGGCTCCGCCGTTGACCAGCGTGCTGGCGGGAAATCGCACCGTCTTCGCGCCCGGTGCCAGCTGCAGACCGGTCAGCCGTGGAGTGCCATTACCACCCTGGGGCACCACAATCATCCGCACATTGGGCGTGGCGGTGCCGGTCTTTGCTGTGCCACCACTGCCCGTAATCACCGGCGAGATGGTAGTGGTCAGCGGGGAGGAGGAGGTGGTGGACGACTTGTTGGTCGTCAGCGTCACCTGACTGCCGCCGCCACTGCTGCTACTGCTGCTGACGACGCGCAGCAGCTGCGGTGTGCTAGTGCCGCTGCCACCGGTGTTGGCCAGCGCCATTCCCTGGGGCGTCTTCACCAGCGTAAACGTGCCCGACTGGAGGCCTCCTACTCCTCCTGCGGGCGACTTGAGCACCAGCTTCGCGCCGGCGCCTCCTCCTCCTCCCGGCATGTTCGCAATCAGCCGAAGGTTGGCGGGGATCTTGAGGTTCGCCCCGCCGCCGCCGCCACCTCCACCCGCTGCTGTGATCACCGTTGACGGTGTGATGTAGCGGATGGTCTGCGCGCCGGCNCCTCCTCCTCCTCCCGGCATGTTCGCAATCAGCCGAAGGTTGGCGGGGATCTTGACGTTCGCCCCGCCGCCTCCACCCGCTGCTGTGATCACCGTTGACGGCGTGATGTAGCGGATGGTCTGCGCGCCGGCAGTGGGGTTGCCCTTAATGGGCGTCGCCAGAATCTTCTGCGGCGTCTGCGCGGCAGCGGCCGCCGCCAGCACGCCAATGCCCGACATGGTCGTCTCCTCGTTGAGCTCCTTCACCGAGGCCTCGTACTCCTTGGGGTCGACCTTTTGAATTTGCACAAGGAACTTGTCGGCCTCCGTCACCTCTCCCCAGGTAATCTCCAGAACTGAGGTGCCCGATTTGGTGAGGACGATGCGCTCCGGCTTTGCCGGCTTGGACGTCTCCAGTATCCACAGGTCCTTGCAGCACACCTGATTGTTCCAGGCCTTCCGGTAGCCATCTCTCCCCGAGAAGATCATCACCCGACTGCCAATGGAGACGGCGCAGTGTCCGGCGCGGGCCTTCGGCGCCGACTCGTCGCTAATTTCACTGGAGACGTACTCCCAGGTATTTGATGGTATGTCGAAAACGGCCACCGTATTGGTGCACCGCCACTCCTTGTCCTGAACGGCGTCCGGCCTGTCGGGGTTCAGCAGCATGGGCACCCAGCCGCCGAAGATGTACATCTTCTCGCCGATGACGTTGGCAGAGTGAAGCGATCGCGGTGCCGGCGGAATTCCTATAAAACATTTACATTAATATTATTAAAGCATGAAACTACACCAGCTCCTCACCATTAACATAAGGTTTGCTCCAGGTGAGCGTCTCAATCTCGAGAATCCACAAGTCTTGAAGACGCAGGCCGCACATTCCCCCGTAAATGATCAGCTTCGGACTGCCGCCGCCTTTGGGGAAGTACGCCACTGCGCTGTGTGACTCGCGCGGACAGGGAGGCACGCCGGCGGTAACGGGCAAGTCCCACTGGTACGTCCCATTGGCTTTAATCTCCAGCGTGTACAGATCGTTCAGGTACTTGGGCAGGTTCTGCTTGGGATTAGGACTGTCGTTGGCCAGGCCGCCGAAGAGGTAGATCTTGTTGCCGATCAGGTTAAAGGAGTGGCCCAGGCGGGCTTTAGGCGACTGGGCGTTGGGATTTTTCGGCGCCCGCGGCTTCAGCCGCCTGCACTCCCAATTGCACAGCTTGAGCTCGTACAGTTCATTGCTGTACTTGCCGTACTCTAGCATTCCGCCGAATATCCAGGCTCGAGTTTCATCATTGGTAAAGCCGAAGGCAGCACAACCGGGCGGAACGTCTCCCTTTACCGGCATGGAGAACCATCGCTGTTCAGCTGAAAAAAGAAAAATATAAAAAAAAATCTGAAANCATTGGTAAAGCCGAAGGCAGCACAACCGGGCGGAACGTCTCCTTTTACCGGCATAGAAAACCATCGCTGTTCAGCTGAAAAAAGAAAAATATAAAAAAATCTGAAGTTTAGAATATTGTCGATGGGCGATTTAGAACACTAGAGGGCACACTCTACTTGAAGTGACAGCAAAGTTGTTCTAAAAGAGAAGAAATGTACGGCAAAATACCGCCGAAAGGACATTTCGAAACGACCGACTTTTCCGCTGAAAACCGCTGGTATTTGACATGCCCACAAGTCCCCGGGTAATGTTTAGTCGGTAACACCCACTGAAGTTTGCCATTGACGTGCGGAGAAGGCTGTGACGACAATAAACAGCGGGGCACTTACCGTGTCTGAAGACGCTAAACTCCTCAATAATGCCTTCGTTACCGCCTCCAAAGATGACCATGTCATTCTTGAAGGTGACCGCGCGGTGTCCGTGTCTCGGCTTTGGCTGCGATCCATACTGAAAGTCCACTTTGCGCCAGTAGGACGCGAGAGGGGCCGTCATTTTGATGCGTTTTGGCGATTTTCTCCGAATCCGTTTGGAGGCTTGGCAATCGCACAGCTTCACTCCAGACCTGACTGGAATAGACAAACTGGCGCGCGCTTGTATCGATATGGTCGCCGGTTGCCGAAAAAGTTTCCCCCTGAGAGTGAGTGAATTCCCGGGAAGACTTCCCGCGTGAAACAAAAAACTTCACAACTTCACTTTTGTTTATCGGAAAGATGAGCTCGGAGGAGTTCAAACAAAAAAAGTAGTTTTGCTCAAGGCAAATGTTGAAAGATTCCCTCTAGAGGTGATGGTTGGAAAGAACTCTTAGAAGTACTAGCTGGTGAGAACGGATAGAATAGAGCCAAAAGGTGTTTATTTTAGCGTTTAAAACAAGAGGTACAGTTTTAATATTTAGTTCTTCTTCTTGCTCACACCGACAGTGCGACCACGTCGGCCGGTGGTCTTGGTGTGCTGGCCACGGACGCGCAGGCCCCAGAAGTGACGCAGACCACGGTGGGCGCGGATCTTTTTGAGTCGCTCCAGATCCTCACGCAGCTTGGTGTCCAAGTTGTTGGACGTCACCTGGGAGAACTTGCCGTCACGGATGTCCTTCTGTCGATTGAGGAACCAGTTGGGGATCTTGAACTGGCGCGGGTTCGAGATGATGGTGATCAGGCGCTCCACCTCCTCCTCGGACAGCTCTCCGGCGCGCTTGTTCAGGTCGACGTCGGCCTTCTTGCAGACGATGTTGGAGAAGCGGCGGCCGATACCCTTGATGGAGGTGAGGGCGAACATCACCTTGCGGTTTCCGTCGATGTTCGTGTTCATCACACGGAGAATGTGCTGGAATCGTTCGGGAATAATGAGCGACATCGTGGATCGTCGGGATGTGTTGTGGACACACGGCGAGGCAAACAGCGAAAAGACTGCAAGAGTGGAAATCCGGCGTGGAGAGTGGCCAGCCAAGGGTCGGTCGTAGAAGACGTGCGGTGGTGGCCGACGCCGCCGCTGCTGCCCTCTCTCTTGCCGAAATGCCAACGCCCTGGCACCAAAACAATTTGGACCAAATNTGGCCGCCGTCGCCGACGCCGCCGCTGCTGCCCTCTCTTGCCGAAATGCCAACGCCCTGGCACCAAAACAATTTGGACCAAATGTTTGGGTCGTGAAACAGCTTCCAAAGCTTCAAATGGCTGATCAATTTGGGTGAGCCGATTCACCTGAGGTAAAACCAGCCTTGAGGAAGTTTAGCACCGGTTCTCCGATTGCCTGGTCAAGCGAAAGATGATGGCATTCAGCAACTCCGCTTGGCGGGCAAATCTGCGGTGGGGAGCATGCGCAGAAGAAGGCTGGAAGTGAGGCTGTCTCTTGCAGGACATCCACAACACACTCACATCTCTCTCTCGCTGATGTCAGTTTGAGAAGAGTCCTCTCTCCCTCACATCAAGATGTCTGCGGCGCCCCTAACCACCAAGTGGCGCAAGGTCGAGGGCGTCCTCGGAGCCGCCCCCCGGCCACGCCATGGCCACCGAGCCGTCGCCGTGCGCGACATGATGATCGTCTTCGGCGGCGGCAACGAGGGCATCGTCGAGGAGCTGCACGTCTACAAATCAAGTAAGTGTGTGTGTAATGTGTGCGCCGTTCGCGCTATTACAACAGTGGCCACAGCAGTGTTGTTCTTCGCTTCTTCTTCTCCACCACCGGCTTCTTCTTCACCACCTCCTGGTCCCTGACAATTTGACCCTGACATGCGGCCCCAGCACCGGACAACGCCCACCGAAGATGAAGCTGAAGCTGAAGTGCGGGGGCGAAGGAGCCGGGCCAAGGAGCGCGCCCTTGTGTCTTTGTTTACCATTTGAGAGAGAGGGAAATTCTGTTGTTGTGCGAATCCGTGCAGCCCTCTGACGGCCAGTCGAGTCAGCTGTGGTGTGCCTCTGTGATTTGAATTCCCTGCTTTGATTTCCTTGCTTTAATGTCCCAATTCTTTTTCTCTTTCTCCCCTCTTCTTCAGGTACAAACCAGTGGTCACTGCCCCAAATGAAGGGCGACGTCCCGCCGGGCTGCGCCGCCTANGAATCCGTGCAGCCCTCTGACGGCCAGTCGAGTCAGCTGTGGTGTGCCTCTGTGATTTGAATTCCCTGCTTTGATTTCCTTGCTTTAATGTCCCAATTCTTTTTCTCTTTCTCCCCTCTTCTTCAGGTACAAACCAGTGGTCACTGCCCCAAATGAAGGGCGACGTCCCGCCGGGCTGCGCCGCCTACGGCTTCACCACCGACGGCAACCGCTGCTGGGTCTTCGGCGGCATGATGGAGTACGGCAAGTACAGCAACGACCTGTACGAGCTGAAGGTCGCCACCTGGGAGTGGCGGCGGATCAAGCCTCGGCCGCCCAAGAACGGCGACCCCCTGCCGCGGCCCCGCCTAGGGCATTCCTTCACCCTGATCGGCAACAAGATCTACCTCTTCGGCGGTCTGGCCAACGACAGCGACAACCCAAAGACGAACCTGCCCAAGTACCTGAACGACCT